CATACATACATACATACATCCATACATACATACATACATACATACATACATACATACATACATACATACATACATACATACATACATACATACATACATACATACATACATACATACATACATACATACATACATACATACATACATATATTATAATAACGGCACGATTCCAGTGACACTGGGAATTGTTAACCAGGTGAAACTGTCATTTCGGGAAACCTATGGTGTTCCGTTCATAAAATTGGTGGCTCCTACCCTCCTAACCCCCCGGTAAACCCTCCTACTCCTGCTTGGCCCGGCCCAAACCCACCCCCCAACCACTTCAATTTCATCATCAAACTTTGTTGACTTTAGGGTCAAATTATTTTATCCCAGAGTCAACAAAAATTTGGGGATGAAATTGAAAGGATTGGAAGGATGGATTCGGGTCGGGACAGGGTGAGGGGGTTTACCGGGAGTGGGGGCTAGAGGAGGTAGAAACTATTAATTTTACGAACAGAGTACCATAGATACTCCAATTTGAGCCACTGTCATCCATAGACACTCAAGATGAGTGTCAATGAAACCTTTCCGTAATAATAATATAGTAGTAATGAGTTGGATGAACCATAACTTTAAAATACCCTAAAGACGAATGGAAATAAAAATACCTCTTGCGCCCTCCAATATGTCCAACATGGTCCAAGCCAAGATAATGTAGAATCTGAAGTAGGAGTTTAGTTATAACACATACATGATAATATTAATAATCATAGTTATATTAGTAGACTAATATTAATACTCCCTCCATTTCGCAAAAAGTTCTATTTTCATTTTTGGAAAATTTAAGGAATGTATATTGTATAGTTAACTTTCTAATTTTGCTCTTAGATGTGATGTGTAAAAGTAGGATTAATAGTGAATAGATAAGATGTGATAGGTTGGGTAAGGGTTAGTTGGGGTAAAATAGAGTTTTTAATGAAAAGTGGAAGTGTTTTATGGGAAAAGTGAAAGAGGAATTACTTTGTGAAATGAAGGGAGATATTCAATATAGTAATAAATATCCAAAGAACCTAAGGCCTTGATAGATCATGAGCAATATTATCTTAATCTGATCTTTGGACCACAGTGGAGAGTTGAAAATTGTTGGCTAAGGGGATGTGGGTGTGAGAATCCTTGATGCAAGAACGACCCTGCCCCTGACCACCAAGCTTTTTACCATTACATGAAATGTACAACAGCTCAAAATTCATTAAAAATGAATATATAATTCGGTACCAAAAGATTCCAATCAGTCTGGTTAAGTTCAAAAGCCAAGTGCCGTGAGACATTATGATCTACTTGAATGGTGTCCTTAACCTGGAACATGAAATAATGACCAAATCAAGAACAAACTTAAAGCCTCAATAAAAAGGTTGGTCTAGGTAAAGTGATCAAGTTATCAACGGATCAATCATTAAACCATCACGTAATGTGTGTAAACCTTAAGCAACCTCTTTGTAGCGAGATACACAACGTAACTTTTTCACACTAAATGCAACCCTTTCTATCACATGGAAAATAGTGATCAACTACAAACCTCTTTATATCTCCCCTATGCATTTTCCAAGTGGTCCAATATGTTTCTTTATATTTTCTATTAAGAAGGGAAATTCATAGATACGGTTTCTTCTCTTAAGAAGATTTTCTTCCTATGTCCCCTTTTGTATTGCTCTTGCAAGGCATGGATCAAGTTATTATAACGTAATTTATATAATACTCCGTATCAAAGTCACAGTTGGTAAGAGAATCTCGTACGCACGAAAACTATACATCAAGAGGTCTATTAAACAGAATACCCACATTAGAAAATAACTACAAGAGACGAAATAAGAAAAATGGCGACGAGGCAACGAAAGTGAAAAGAAAGCATATCTACTAAGTCGTCTTCATCTTGTGACATATCAGAACAAAATGAGTCATGTAAAGCACCACATGGCCACCTAGAGTAATTACCAGGCAAGCATTTCCACAAGACATCTCACACCTCATATTCAGGACAAAAAATATAAAAGGAACGCATTTGGCAACCTCAGTTCACTGCTAGAACAAGATAATGGAGTGCTAATGATTCCATTTCCCGAGGGTAGAATACCAACATTCCTATACAGTTCTGGGGTGGCTATGTTACAACTTACAAACAAACAAATGAAGAAAAAATGCAAAGAAATGAAGTTTGCAAGTAAGCATGGCTGAAAATTCTTGGCAGTGAAGTGCAACTAGACTCACAAAGAAACTGCTGACTCCATCGTGTCTCACAAACATTCCGGGAAATAACTTCAGCCATGTTTCGTCACCGTGCATCACCATTTTCCAACCAAGTTTATGAAATTGAACTGCATGGGAAAATAGTTTTAAAGCTAAAGGGGTACAAGGAATACAACACATGGGCTAAAATTGACAAAGCATTTCAACTCCACCAATAATGTTATCTTCTAAGAGAGCTTGAGTGTTGAAATTGAAGGCAACATCCAAAAAGCCCCCAATTGCGCCAGAGACCATGGCCTGTTGGAAAGGTCAACATGTCAAAATCCAGCAAGCACCATCCTGCATACAAAAGAGATGGAATAAAATAAATGTACCTTCAAGCGAGGCATTGTAACAGTTGGAGGTGCAGCCTTTGCGTGGTAGCCGGTGGCTCTTCCCTGATTCAGTAATGACTGAGTGTATGGCATAGCCTCCTTAAAAGCTTCGGGAGGAGAGTACCCATCTTTCCCAAGCACAAATTCGGCAGGAAGACCATCAATTACCTAAATTTTAGAATATTTGTAATTAAATAGACAAAAGATAACAGCTACCAGATTGACCAAACAATAATATACAGGAATCCTGGACGCCTACCATCAGTATCAACTTGTCAAAAAATGGAGATACCTCAGACAGCTCCTGCATTTACAAAGAGCATCACGTTACATAAACAGTCTCAAATGTCCAAATCCTTAATACCCTAAACAATTAAACAGCATATTTTAAGAAATTGTGCAAGAAATATTAAAAGAAATTATAGGAAAAGAACTGGAGAATTAATACTACTCCATCTATCTACGTATAGAGATAAATGTAAAACACCTGATACAAGGATTTGAGCTGATCAGCTGACAAAACGGTCTCATCTGTATCATCTGATGACTTAAAGTCCGGCTGATAAAAACTCTCTAATCCACTGTAATCATGGGAAAGAACAAAATAATGCCAAGTATCTGTAGAATACGGCCATTACTACATCTAATCGCGTCAGTGGCGGAGCCAGGATCTAGGGTTAGTGGGTGCGCTATACCGGGAGCTCGTGAGTCGTTATATTTGATTTTTCTAGGAGAGTAACTCTCTTTAGAAGATTTGTAGAAAAAATCAATTTCTCTTTTGAGATTCGGAATTGATTTCAACTGAGAGAACGCACCTTCCACCGGAGAGAGTTGGCTTGACGGGAAAGAAGCCGGAAATGAAGAGAGATAGACCAATGATTTGTATGGCAATCGCTAACACTGTCAACAACGCTACTTTCGTGCACGTCAATGAGGATGAAGGATTCGCCATTGATGACTGCTTTTGGAAGCATGTAGCATGAAGTGGAATGGGAATTGAGGAAGTACTCCGTCCGTCTTTCCCTGCACTTTTGACCGCTAGCATAAATTCTTTTTTATCCTAATCTAAAAAAATTCTAAATCCTTTCTCTTCTCCACTATAAAACATCCCATCTTCTTCTTTTTCTTCATCTTCTTATTGAATCCTTTTCTCTTTTTCTTATTCTCCATTTATCATTCTTTCTCTCTCACAATGTAATCTATGGGTACCCAATCAATATCTCTCTCCTATGTGAATGACGACCAACTTTAGGCAACCAACATCAGGCTTAACTGCTATTCATTTCAAGGTATTTGTAATTTTTCTTGAATTTGCTACGTATAAATTAGGGATTTCTTGAACGAATTTTTATTTGGATTATAAAAAATTTGCTTGTTCATACTTTTCAAGGTTTTGATCTAGGGAGATGGTTCTACAGTCACTTCAATGTTTAATTTGTTCATAGTTTTTATTTGAAAAATGCTAGGGTACACCAAAAGTGTACCCCAAACATCCCCACTCCCTCCATCACCACAAAAAAAAAAGTCAAGAAAGTTCAAAAAAATAAAAAATAAAAACAAAATAAAATGAATGGTAGAAAGGGGAGGGATGTACATTTGGGGTACACATTTGGTGTACCCGGAGCATATCCCTTTTTATTTTAGAAATCATCCTAAATAGGACTAAAACATAGAGAAAAGTATCAAAGTAGGACTTTCATGTTTTTTCCTGGAATAGGACTTTCCACTGTGTTAATATGACTTTGCATTGTGGTAATGTGGCAGTGTACATGCGCAAATTACTATACTTTCTTGGTAATGTATATGACCATGTTTGGTAATGTAAGTCCTATTTCGAGAATAAAAATATGAAAGTCCTATTTTGGTATATTTTTAATGTTTTAGTCCTACTTTGGTCTTTCAATCTTTTTATTTTGGCCAATCTATTAAACAAAATGCTCTGCATGTAAAATTTTAATAAAAATACTCTAGAATTTTTTTTACTTATGTGTGATGTCTATGAATCTTAGTTTTGTTCCTTTCATAGATCTTAAATATATGTGACGTTGTAGTTGCTCTGGTATGGAATTCACATATTTTTACAATATACTCCCTCCGTCCGGAAATGATGTTCCCAGTATACCTTTTTTTTCGTCCAGAAATGATGTTCCCAATCTACTTATTTTTTAGCATTCTTCCAAAACTACCCTCTCCTCCTTTTCTTTCTTTTTTTCTTCCGTTTGGTTCTCCTTTCTCTGTCTGTTTCTTTTTCCCCTCTTTTTTCATTTTTCTTTCTTCTCTCCTCCGATTTCAGCCCCATCTTCTTCATATTTTTTTCCTCTACTTTTTCTTCTTTCTTCTTTCTTCTTTCTTCAATTCCCCTGCTCTTTTTCCGATCGTCCCCCTCTTCTTCTCTTCTCATCATCATCTTCATCTTCATCTTCTTCTTTATCTCCCTTTTTCTTCTAGATCTAAACAGATCTGTGACGAAATCACCCTCCGCCTCTTCCTCTTCCTCTTCCCTTCCTCGCAGGTGTTCTCTTTCTTCCAAATCTGCGATGGAAGGGGATGACAGCGACGGAGGGACTGGAGGTTGTGGTGGAAGCTGACGGCACTGTAGG